ATTTAGATGAATCTATGGGAACTATAACACTCGCAGGGCACCTAGATTATGAAAAAGAAAAGAAACACGAAATTATGATTGAAGCTACGGACCAAGGAGGTCTAACAGATTCGAGCAAAGTTCTAATTGAGATTATAGACGTCAATGATAACGCACCAGTTATGAATGTGATGTCATTCTCCAGTCCTGTGCCGGAAGATTCTCCCTCTGGCACCACAGTCGCAATAATAAACGTAATAGATGCAGACTCAGAACAAAATGGTCAAATTAGCTGCGCAACAGACAGCGCTCTCCCGTTTAAAGTGAAATCCACAATAACTAATTACTATGCATTAATAACAGTGTCAGCTTTTGACAGGGAACTTGAACCTGAGTATAACATAACTGTAAGGGCGAGTGACTCAGGAACACCATCCTTGTCAAGCACAACAGTTTTACGACTGAGAATTTCTGATGTTAATGACAATGCGCCATTATTTGATAAAAACAGCTACCTTGCTTACATTACAGAAAACAATTCCCCGGGAATGTCCATATTTTCGGTCAGCGCACGAGACAGTGACTGGAATCAAAACGCTAGAATATCATATTTTCTCGAAGAAACACAGATCAGTGGCAATCCAACCTCTTCTTATGTGTCCATTAATGCCGAAACTGGAACTATTCACGCAGTTCGCTCATTTGATTATGAACAACTTAAAGAGCTTACGTTTTTGGTCAGAGCACAGGATGGAGGCTCTCCTCCACTTAGCAGCAATGCGAGTGTAAAAATAATTATCCAGGACCAGAACGACAACCCTTCCTGATCAACAGCGTCCCTTAGAGTCCAAACCGAGTAGAGAAGCGAATACACTGCAAATACATAAAAAAACAACTATGCAACATACTGCGGGAACAGAACAACTCAACTATAGATTAGTTGCAAATAATATTAACAGAAGAAATATATAGCACCAGATGTAGCATAAAGACACATACTGTATACCAAATGAGACCAAAGGCGATATATAACAACTTTAGAAGAATAAGCTTTACTTAGCTCTAAACTTCTAAACACTATAAAGAGATAGTGAAATAAATACAAAGGTTAAAGAAGAGCAGTGATTACAAGGAAAAGCCGGTATATTTAGTAGACAAACCTCAAAAGAACAAAAACACGAGGAAACTGTAAATATTTATGAATAGGATTTAGTACATTTAAAATGTGGAAAAACATCGGCATAATTTGTGTATCCCACTTCGCTTGGCAGTGTAATAATTATAATCAAAATACTGATAATATGTTAATAGAAAATATAACATCACAATATTGTTTGAGAATATAGATAGGACAATCATTTTTAAAGTTCTTCATGTGAATGCAAAAACTATGTCAACTGAGGGAAAGTAAGTGTACTGTCCATGGTGCTGAAAACGAAAACTTACTGTGCCACTAAGCTAGAGCGCTGAAAAGGAAAAACTAACCTCTAGAGGAGAGTCTGGTTCATCCAGGATGCTCTTTTCACTCTGTATCCGCTGCATCGTTCCTGTAGAACTGGGGTCCATTATCAGCACGTTCTGACTACCAGCTCTGCCGAACTTACAGTCACTCTTTCTGGAGTCAGTCGTCCTGCACACCTCGTAATTGTACACATGTGGCAGAGTCCCTGTCCCCAAAGTGTCTGAGTAACGTGGTGGATAATATGGAATGACAGGCAGGTTGGAGTGATACAGGATGCGAGACTGTCTCCACCTGTAGATTTTGACTGATATAATAACCACTAAACACGTGATGAAGAGGAAGGAAACTACAGCCAGAGCCAAGACTAAGTAAAAAGTCAGGTTGTCATTGTACTCCTTGTCGTGTGTCAACTCAGTGAACTCCGACAGCACTTCAGGGAAGCTGTCCGCCACCGCCACGTTAACAACGACTGTAGCTGAACGAGAGGGCTGCCCGTTGTCCTCCACTATAACAGTCAGTCTTTGTTTGACAGCATCTTTATCAGTGACTTGGCGGATAGTTCTGATTTCTCCATTCTGTAAGCCCACTTCAAACAGCGCCCTGTCTGTGGCTTTCTGCAGTTTATAGGAGAGCCAGGCATTCTGTCCAGAGTCCACATCAACAGCCACCACTTTAGTCACCAGATAGCCCACATCTGCTGAACGAGGCACCATTTCAGCCACCAGAGAGCCACCAGTCTGGACTGGGTACAGAACCTGAGGGGGGTTGTCGTTCTGGTCCTGGATCATTATTTTCACAGTCACGTTGCTGCTGAGTGGAGGAGAGCCTCCATCCTGTGCTCTGACCAAAAACGTAAGCTCTTTAAGTTGTTCATAATCAAATGAGCGAACTGCGTGAATAGTTCCAGTTTCGGCATTAATGGACACATAAGAAGAGGTTGGATTGCCACTGATCTGTGTTTCTTCGAGAAAATATGATATTCTAGCGTTTTGATTCCAGTCACTGTCTCGTGCGCTGACCGAAAATATGGACATTCCCGGGGAATTGTTTTCTGTAATGTAAGCAAGGTAGCTGTTTTTATCAAATAATGGCGCATTGTCATTAACATCAGAAATTCTCAGTCGTAAAACTGTTGTGCTTGACAAGGATGGTGTTCCTGAGTCACTCGCCCTTACAGTTATGTTATACTCAGGTTCAAGTTCCCTGTCAAAAGCTGACACTGTTATTAATGCATAGTAATTAGTTATTGTGGATTTCACTTTAAACGGGAGAGCGCTGTTTGTTGCGCAGCTAATTTGACCATTTTGTTCTGAGTCTGCATCTATTACGTTTATTATTGCGACTGTGGTGCCAGAGGGAGAATCTTCCGGCACAGGACTGGAGAATGACATCACATTCATAACTGGTGCGTTATCATTGACGTCTATAATCTCAATTAGAACTTTGCTCGAATCTGTTAGACCTCCTTGGTCCGTAGCTTCAATCATAATTTCGTGTTTCTTTTCTTTTTCATAATCTAGGTGCCCTGCGAGTGTTATAGTTCCCATAGATTCATCTAAATGAAATATGTCAGCCAGCTGTTCTTTCATGTTTGAAAATCTATATGTAACAAGACCGTTTGACCCGATGTCTGCATCGCTTGCATTCACTGTCGTGATGTAGGTACCTCTTAATGAATTTTCCAAAACGGCAGCCCTGTAGAGAGACTGGTTAAACACTGGAGGGTTATCATTAGCATCCAGCACTGTAATATCTATATTTACAGTACCAGATCTATGCGGAGTTCCACCGTCTATAGCGATGAGCTTCAGTGATATTTTTGGCTCACTTTCTCTATCTAACGGTTTTTGTAACACCATCTCAGCATATTTTCTACCATCTGGACTTGAGTGTTGTTTCAGATCAAACATGTCATTTGTGTTTAATATGTATTTTTGTAGACCATTACTGCCCACATCTGCGTCCTCGGCGCTGGCCAATAAAAATCGCGATCCCAGTGTCGCAGACTCGCTAATTTCAAATTTCATTTCTTCCTTCCTAAATGTCGGAGAGTTGTCGTTTATGTCAGTTATCTCTACTGTTACTCGGTGTAGCTCCATGGGATTTTCTAAAATAACCTCAAAGCTGAAGCTACACGGTGTTACGTCTCCACAAAGCTGCTCTCGGTCTATCCTCTCGTTCACGACTAAAATGCCTTTGTCTGTTTTCAGCTCCGTGAACTGGATGCTTTGTCTGGTCACAATACGGGCACGGCCAGAACGAAGCCTTTGCACATCCAGACCGACGTCTTGAGCTACATTTCCAATAAGAGAGCCCCTTTTCAGCTCCTCTGGGATTGTATACCTGATTTGTCCAAACACGATGTGACTGAGACAGCCCAGAAACAGCAGAAAGGGCCATACTGACCTGAAATTCAAACGCCATTTTACACACGACAGAGGCGAGCTTTTAAACGCCATTGCACACACAAAAAACGAAAATTGCACAAAATCCTCTTGTAAACGATCCACAAAGAACAAAGGCTGTTATATCCAGTATCCTTTGATTTTTAAGTCCTTGCTCTTAACGGATTTGTGACTGCAGCTTTGAATGCGAAGCCCACCGTTTATTTTCGATCCTCAGCAAACGGGAAAAAGGAAGCCTCTGCCTCCACCAAATCAGCACTGAATACTAGTTTCTCTGACCAACAGCGTCCCTTACTGTCCAAATACACGAATATCACAAACACGAAAAGGAAAAAAGTGCTTTCAAAGCACTTTTCTGCTTTACATTTTTAATCAGCAATCACACATCTGTCTTTTAACTACAATGCCATAAAGTCTAATGCAGAAATACCAGTGAGACAGTTGTTTTAAAATATAACAATAACTACTTAAATTAAAACAATAGATCTTGCTCCCCTTTTCAAAGTGAATTAAGCAGCACGTTAAAAGGGGAGTGTGAACCTTCAAGCAGTTGAGCTGTCCAAGAGTTGTGGTTCTGAAAACGCACCATGGGTTACCAGAAATGTGAGCGATGAAATGTGGTATAACGTAGAATAAACCTCTAAAGAATGTGGGCATAAACTTAATTATGTCAAAGTCCTCACCTCCAGAGGAGAGTCTGGTTCATCCAGGATGCTCTTTTCACTCTGTATCCGCTGCATCGTTCCTGTAGAACTGGGGTCCATTATCAGCACGTTCTGACTACCAGCTCTGCCGAACTTACAGTCACTCTTTCTGGAGTCAGTCGTCCTGCACACCTCGTAATTGTACACATGTGGCAGAGTCCCTGTCCCAAAGTGTCTGAGTAACGTGGTGGATAATATGGAATGACAGGCAGGTTGGAGTGATACAGGATGCGAGACTGTCTCCACCTGTAGATTTTGACTGATATAATAACCACTAAACACGTGATGAAGAGGAAGGAAACTACAGCCAGAGCCAAGACTAAGTAAAAAGTCAGGTTGTCATTGTACTCCTTGTCGTGGGTCAACTCAGTGAACTCCGACAGCACTTCAGGGAAGCTGTCCGCCACCGCCACGTTAACAACGACTGTAGCTGAACGAGAGGGCTGCCCGTTGTCCTCCACTATAACAGTCAGTCTTTGTTTGACAGCATCTTTATCAGTGACTTGGCGGATAGTTCTGATTTCTCCATTCTGTAAGCCCACTTCAAACAGCGCCCTGTCTGTGGCTTTCTGCAGTTTATAGGAGAGCCAGGCATTCTGTCCAGAGTCCACATCAACAGCCACCACTTTAGTCACCAGATAGCCCACATCTGCTGAACGAGGACCATTTCAGCCACCAGAGAGCCACCAGTCTGGACTGGGTACAGAACCTGAGGGGGGTTGTCGTTCTGGTCTTCAATATTTATTCTAACTGTGGTATTGCTGCTTAAAGGAGGGGAACCCCCATCCTGTCCTTTTACATAAATGTGTATAGTTTTAATTTGTTCATAGTCAAATGATCGTAGTGCCTGTATAACTCCGCTTTCTGCGTTTACTGATATGTAAGTAGATATAGGACTACCATTTAACTCGGTATCAATAAGCAGGTAAGACACGCGTGCGTTCTGTCCTGAGTCGGAATCGCGTGCTTTAACGGAAAACACAGACAATCCCGGTGATTATTCTCCATAACAGACGCTTCATAATAACTCTGTTCAAATATCGGGGCATTATCATTTACGTCTGCTATTCTAAGTGTTATCCTGA